ACTTCGACAATACTAAATACTGTGAGGATCTTAACAAGTGTCAGTCTGCTTTGAGTTGTTGAGCAGTCAACATCTGGTTTGTATACAGAATTCAAGAGGCATGACCGGATCAACAGATGTCTTCAATTTCCCATACATCATGACCACTTTACTTAGGGATCATGTTTTCTTGATTTCAGATGAATAATTTGAAGTTTTTCCATGCCCTTGCTATTTACCTTGAGAAGTACCAAAGAAGAAACACCAATATTATTAGTCCTAATCTGGTGGCTCGGCTTCAGTCAATTTCCCACCACCGTAAGTTTGCTTCTCTGTGCCTTTTCTGTAAATATTTTCAAGGTAATTGTTCAGATGATCTATTTGCATATAGTATGTACTAAGAGCACAAATGCTGCCTAATTACACTAAGTTTAAATTATGAGGGTCGTTCAAAATGTTCTAAGCCTCACCCAGAAAGAAAAAAAAAACAGTAGGAAGAATTTCCAATGTGAAGAGGATTTCAAGAGTAGTAGAAATCCTAAGAATTTATTCTTCACTATTAAAAAGGAAAAAAAAAACAAATTTTCTTAAAAAAATATTGTTTACCATGTTCCCCTATAAAATTAAAATTAAAAAATTATTAAACTGCCAAATGGTTTTATTTTGTCAAAATATTTTCCCAAACAAATCAGCTTATTCAAATTTCATCGATTAGTTAACGAAATTGAACGAAACGTAGAGTTTGTAAATAACTACAAGAAAATCTAAGCGATGACTTCAACAATACTATGAGGATTACAACACACGTCAGCGTTTTCAATAAAATTCTAGCAATTGTAAAAAAAACAGCCAATTTTTTCTGGGGACATTGATTAAAGATCTCTTCTTATCGGTCTTACCAGAAAAAAGTGTGAATGTCAAACATCATTAGTGTCTTCTTGTAAAAGATTGTTTTATGTTACGGTTTCTCGTTGTAAGCTCCAGATAAGGTTTTGGGGTAGCTGTTTAAAATTTTGATAACTTGGGATAGAAACAGCGACTAAATTGTTTATATTCCACCGAAATATATTCTTCGGGTTCCGATAATGACTAATGTAAAATTGATAAAGATTCTATGAAGGAAAAAACAATGGAATTTTTTGGATCCTTTTCTTGTTAGTCGATGATTGATGAGAATGGATGATGCAAGACGGTTCCTTTTTACGAGCCTGACGTTGTCGCATTCTGTTCCCGCGCCCTTGCGTTGCAAGATTGAAATCCAGTTGTATACAGAGTCCTGTCAAAATAGCTACACGCTTTTTCCGATACGGGAAATGAATTTTCTCTCTGTCTTTTTTTTTCTTGAAGCGTGTACTTGATAAATTCTTTTTGTGAAAAGGTTCACCATCTTTGATATGATATATTGCTTTTCTCTTCTTGTTTGTTTCATTTCTAGTTCTATAATCCTCTAAGTCGAGTTTCTGACCTAAACATTAATACTGATTGTCTGGTTCGAGGTCAAACGGCATTACTAAGGTCTAAATAGCAATAGTAATACTAAAAAAATAAATAAATATTTGATGATCTATATATCATTTTATTCTTTTTAGTTTTATTTGTTCTGAAGTATGAAAGAACATCTAGGTCTTATGTTAAATAGACAAAACAATCTTTTTAGTTGCTGTCACCTCTATGACCGTATCACGCATGCGCTCGCTCCAATTTCCGCCATAGAGATTTGGCGGGATCATTTTTCTATATATCTGCAACATATGCATGCATTCATACTTTTTCTGGAGGCTGGCCTGGCCAATGAACCCTGGGTAGACTGATTAACCCCTAACTTGTTCACTGATGCTACGGACTGCATTTATTTATTTTAAATACGAATATGAATGCGAAATGAGTTAGAAAGGAAGTCGGAAAAAAAAAAAAAAAAAAAAACGGAAAAAGGGATACGCAAAAAGGAAAAGAAAAATAAAGAAAATAGTAATCCGGAATTATTTAGAAAGAGAAAATAAAGAGAATGAAATGAAGATTTGATAAGAAAAAAGAACGCAGATGAAGATATATTGATATAGGCAAAAAGAATTTAAAAGAAAACAAATGTTTCTCCCAAAATTGAGAAGGTTCTATCTGCACTTTTTCTAGTTTTGAGATGTTTTACTTAAAAGTTCGTCCAAACCATAACCTTTCTCATAAATTGATGATATCTTTTTTATTTCAGTTTTTCTCGTATTCTTAAACTTTTCCAGTTTGGTGAGGGGCAAGGGCATTGTCCATCGTGTCTATATGGCCAAAGCGATTTCTGCCAATTCTTTAGCCATTTTAATTGGCCGAAAGCTCTTGAGAATAGAGACTATGGACAATTCTAACTCTCTTACCCCACCAAACGAAAATTTAAGAATACTAAAAAAACTCAATATATATATATATATATATATATATATAGTGGCGTTTGTATACATTTCATAGACAATACGTTAAAATTTCTCTACGTCGGCCGTGCGCTGATAGCATAGTGGTAAGATGCCAAAACGGTCGAGTTTCGATCCCGGCTTGAATCGGACGTCTAGACACACTGATGAGCTGTGATACAGGTTTTGTATGGGGATGACATATATATATATATACATATATATGAATTATTCACACAAAAACTAATGCAAAGGTTAATGATTTAAATGGCGAGACATCCATCATCGCAAACAATTCAAATAATATACAAAAACCTCCGTATCCGTTATGAATGAAATGATCCTTGTTTATATAAATTTCTGCCGTATTAGTTCTTATTTTACTACAAGCTTTCGTCTGTTCCTACAGACATCTTCAGGTATAGACTAGATGTTGTTCTTGGTTTTTCTCTTAGTAATAAGAGGACAACGAAAATATATGTATTGTTGTATCCGAAAATGCTATTGAAAATGAGTTATTGTTTTTGAACGCGCAAAAGCAACGCTGAGTTTGATTTAAAATTTTTAAAGGTTGTGCGTTCATAATATGGTTATGAACAAATTTTTTACTGGTAAATTTTTCTGTAAAAGTGGCATGAACTATATTGTTCAATAATTACACTAATGTCGCACTTATTATCCAAAAGTCGCACTTGGATCAGGTATTTAAATTACGATAAACGTGCAATCAATTTACAAATACATGAATTATTCACACAAAAACTAATGCAAAGGTTAATGATTTAAATGGCGAGACATCCATCATCGCAAACAATTCAAATAATATACAAAAACCTCCGTATCCGTTATGAATGAAATGATCCTTGTTTATAAAAATTTCTGCCGTATTAGTTCTTATTTTACTACAAGCTTTCGTCTGTTCCTACAGACATCTTCAGGTATAGAATAGATGTTGTTCTTGTTTTTTCTCTTAGTAATAAGAGGACAACGAAAATATATATATTGTTGTATCCGAAAATGCTATTGAAAATGAGTTATTGTTTTTGGAACGCGCTGAAACAACGCTGAGTTTGATTTTGAATTTTTAAAGGTTGTGCGTTCATATAAAATATGGTGATGAACAAATTTTTTACTGGTAATAATTACAGTAATGTCGCACTTATTATCCAAAAAATTAGATAATAAGTGCGACATTAGTGGAATTATTGAACAATATATTTCATGCCACTTTGACAGAAAAATTTACCAGTAAAAAATTTGTTCATCACCATATTATGAACGAACAACCTTTAAAAATTTAAAATCAAACTCAGCGTTGCTTTTGCGCGTTCAAAAACAATAACTCATTTTCAATATCAATATAAACAAGTATCATTTCATTCATAACGGATACGGAGGTTTTTGTATATTATTTGAATTGTTTACGATGATGGATGTCTCGCCATTTAAATCATTAACCTTTGCATTAGTCTTTGTGTGAATTATTCATGTATTTGTAATTGATTGCACGTTTATCGTAATTTAAATATATATATATATATATATATATATATATATATATATATATATATATATATATATCATAAATAAAAAATTGTACGAAGTGGTTAGAAATTTCGCTTTCTGACCATGATATCATGGTTCGAATCTCACCATGGAGACTTCCTAATATTACCGGTCTGGAGGCGTGGGTCGGATCCCAGCCAGTGGCACCTTTGGAAAGTGCACGAAAAACCATACCACGCGTTGACCCAAGCCTTGTAAGCAAAATTGGGTAGACGGAACACTTGGGTCCGTCGATAGCTTTGCTAGAACGAAGTCCCAAGTCATCATGACTGAGGGTCTGAGTGTGCTGGTGTTGTTCAGATTGTTGATCATTCTGGATAACACACTCTCCCCCAGAAACTGTATCTAAGGCCTGCTCAGCAGAGTTGAAGTATAAATCCCAAGCTGAACAAACCCAAATGTGCCTGAGCGAGCGTCTGCCATAGGGATTGGCTAGCCGCCTCGTAGACGGGTATCCCGAATTCGAGTAGCCAGCTATATATATATATATATATATATATATATATATATATATATATTTTATTATAAAATAAATATGTTATAAAATCACAACAGTTATAGCCATTTTGTTTCAACACTTCTGGTGTCTTACCAAAACATTCAACACCACCACTTGATAAGATACATATAGTAATAGTTGGCCAGTCTTATTCGATATATATATATATATATATATATATATATATATATATATATATATATATATATATATATAGAAGTGTGTGTGTGTGTGTGTGTGTGTGTGTGTGCGATAATTTATTCGAAAATTATAAGATAAATATGATATAAAATCACTACAAAAATAGGCATTTTGTTTCAACACTTCTGGTGTCTTATCAAGTGTTGATGTTGAATGTCTAGGTAGGGAGGTAATTTAACACAATGATAACCAATTATATGCGCGTTCACATTTTATATTTATTTAATTCTCATTTTACCTCGATATATATATATATATATATATATATATATATATATATATATATATATATATATACCGCTACCGAAAAATATATCCAATATGAATAATTCGAATGAGACAACGAGTGTGTGTGTGTGTCAAGGCGAAACGAAAGAGTAAAGAGGAATATTAGTCGAAAAAAGGACTAAACCGAGAAAGAAAGAAAGAAATAAGCAGGAATGATGAGAAAGAAAGAAGGGAAAATAGAAAGAAAGAAAGAAAGAAAGAAAGAAAGAAAGAAAGAAAGAGAGAAAGAAAGAATTATGGTAATTTGGAGAAAGAATAATCAGAAAGAAAAATATGTAAAATTTGAAAAAGAAAGATAACTGGAAAAAGAAAGAAAAAGAGATTAAAGAAAAAAAGAAAGAAAGAAAAAAGAAAACTGAAGAAAGGAAATTGAAGAAAAAGGAAAGAAAAGAAAACTGTACAAAGAAAGAAAGAAAGAAAGAAAGAAAGAAAGAAAGAAAATAGAAGAAAGACATAGAGAGATGAAAACGCAGCAGAATAAAGAAAGAAATATGACAAGAAGAAGAAAGAACGAAAGAAAGCAT